AGGGGATTCTAATGATGAACCTTTACAGCAGAAAGTAACAGGAAGTGGAGATAAACCCTTCTGTTTTCTTCTTCTGTGGTCTCGTAGTTAAAGTTCGATTAACGAACACAAACCATGGAATTAATTTACAGTAACGTCTCATTGGACAGACGGCAGAAATATGACATTCAATAAGGTCGCTGTATATGTCAGGACACTCATCAATAACTATTTCTGTATTTTCTTCTATATAATGATGCAGATAATCTGTAATGACACAATTGCCTTGCTGGCTGTAGGATTTTGGCTCCTGATACCTAAAAATCAATACAGTATTATTATTTTATCATATTAAATTGGCAAAAACATCGGAATTTACATTTACGGTCAGTCAAATTAGAGGAACTGCATTCACCCAAAAGAGGGCGCCGCCATAACGTTGGTCAAAGTCGGTTAAAGAATGAGAAAGAGCTTTCTGCTGGTCAAACACTCGGGGCTCTTGGGGTCCTTTTCTGGTTGGGTACGAAGTCTCTGGTCTGAAATATCCCCCCCCATCATTCTCTCTCTGTGCTGCAGGGATGCCGGTTTGGTTTTTTGTGAAGATCGCTCCAATCAGAAACGAGCAGGACAAGGTCGTCCTGTTTCTCTGCACCTTCAGTGACATCACGGCCTTCAAGCAACCAATCGAGGATGACTCTTCGAAAGGTGGGCAGGATAAAACGATGACTAAATGCACGGCAGCGCCCTGTAGTCAGCTCCATTAGTGTCCTTGTTCACTAGTGATTTACTGGATTGAACATTGAATCAGAGTTCCCAAGAGGCTGTTTGCTTGTTCATATTCAGGTTTGTAGGCAGTAGGGAGGGACCAGTCACTGATTGGCTCACTATTGATTGGCGTTTATAGCTGCCAATAGCAGCAAGCGCTATGAGCTAGCGTCAGCTGAGTCAGTTAGGTTAGCTGGCCGAACTAACAGAAGGAAATATTTTCTCCATAAAATCACCGAGTGATTAATGTGTTTAATGTTCTGTGTTTTAGATCACCTTGAACATTTTGTCCTTTGTTAGTTTACTTTGAAATCTTGCACCGATGCTTCCTGTATACCGAGGGTTTGGTTTTGTGACGCTGTCCCTGTGTGGTTGGCAGGTTGGGGTAAATTTGCCCGTCTGACTCGTGCGTTAACCAGCAGTCGAGGAGTTCTTCAGCAGCTCGCTCCAGCTGTCCAAAAAGGGGAGAACGTCCACAAACACTCACGGCTGGCCGAGGTAAGATCCCCGAGAACCTTCACACCTTCACACCTTTACACCTTCGCACCTTTACACCTTCGCACCTTTACTGGTGGGTGGGAGAGAGATAGAGAGAGACAGAGACAGAGGGAGAAAGAGAGAGAGAGAGAGACAGAGAGAGAGAGAAAGGTGCACAGCAACAACTTCACTATTAGTAACTGATTATGAATGAACATGAACACTTACACGACCTTTACACTCACGACCTTTGCGTTCAGACAACATTAAAGTGGTTTCCATACATAATGAATTATTCACCATCATTTCAGCGTAGATGAACGAGTTACCAAATATTCAGCTGTGATACAAACTGAGAGAGCAGATCAGCAGAAACTCCCTCCAGGTGGCCTCACCTGTGTCCCATGATGCGTTAGTGCCATGTGACAAGCTTTCCATTTGTTTCAGACTCTAACAGATGATCCACTCAGCCTCTCTCTGATGTATTATAAATGACTGCACTTCCTCTGACCAGTAATAGTGTTTAATACAGAATGACAGCACACAGACCTGATGGAGCTTCACACTGCAAACGACCATATTGGAGTTTTTGTTCGGTCACCAGATGAGAAGCACTTTGGATCGAACTCCTTTAAATTGAAAGCCAACAGCTTAGAGTAGCTCTGACATCCTCTCTCTTCCTGTTATTAGGCAGCAGAGTGTTCAGACTGCTGATGGATGGAAGTAGTTCCTGTTGTTTACTGATGGCTTTCAGACCCAGCCAACCACCCTGTTAATAAAAGTGGACGTTGGCCCTGGTTTTTCCTGAGTTCTCCTTCATACAATCTTTATTTTGCTGTTTTTTAACCAACAGTAATGATAGATGATGAGAACTGCAGCCGGTGTGTTGATCACTGGACATCACAGCTGGAGAACACCTGTAATGTTTGTTTGCTGAGGGTCTATTTCAGTCCCACTGACAAGATGAGCACATTTATTCTGTAACCTGAGAGCTTGTAAGCACACAGCAGGACGACTACAGCCACTGTTCAGGTCATTTTCATACTCTCCTGTTACAGTAGTAGTGTGTGTTACAGTAAATTCAAATTCAAATTAAATTTTATTTATTTGTATACCAAGTTCATAACAAATTTATCTCAGCGATGAAACAAACTGAGGAACTGACTATAAATAGGACCTACAACTAGCCATACTGCGGGTTTCCTTAATGCAATTGTTGATGCTCAAAGTTCTCTGTAAAAGGAATACTTATAGGTCAAGGTGGTCAAATGCATCAATAAGATTAATAAGTACCGCAAGGTACAGAGACAAGACCGAGTCTGCAGAGGCATATCAAGAAGCGTCCAAGTGGGTATTCGTAACCTGTAACCTGAGTTTCTCGTGCTCTGTACGAACTCTAAATCCTCCGACTTGAAATCCTCAAGATAGAAATTGATCTGAATATGTATATAAAGTCACCAACTGTGTTTGGCGACCGGTTGATGCTTTAGGTAGCTACTTTCTCGCGCAAATCTTAGAGAGAAGGTGGAGGTTAAAAACGTCTAACTTACTGTGATTGGCTAAAACTTCCCCTGGGTCAAGAGTGGCTGTGTTTAAGAAGGGGTTTAGATTAACAGCTAAACTGTTAAGAGATGGGTGACATACCGTGTTAATAAAGAAAGATTAACATCATTCCAGAGGTAAAGACGAGTGTTGTTGCCGTTGAGAAACACTGCAGTTGTAAGATATCGTACGTGTGACACATTCTGAGAGAGCAAAATACAAGAAGATAGAGCGTCGCGGGTTCTCCATGGCTGTCGTTGTGCGCTGTCAGGGCAGGATCATAAATAACACTGTGTATCTGTTTTTTTTCAGTTGTGGTCCTCAAACAACAGTGTCTTGTTGTTTAGAGTGCTCTTTCAGCGTTTAGATATGGAGGCTGTGACATGAATCTTTCCATCAACTGCGAGAGAGATATATTACGCTCGTTGATACCTGAATGAATTACTCCATTATCATGCGGCTGGCGGTTCACTTGGGCGAGAGCTCGTACTGTACTCTTACATGAGACCCCTTTTCATAGCATCTAGACAACTATATTAAAATTTTAACAGTAGTTTATGAGAAGGCAAACCAGTACTTGATCTCTCATACAGCAGAAGCTACTTCTTTACAGGAGCCAGGATTAAGAATGACTTGTCGGAGTTTAAGAGTAGAAAAGCTATACCCGAGGAAAGTAACTTTTAGCTTTATGTTTGTTTTTATTTATTAAGTGTTATTGTAATGTTTACTGTAAATTATTGATGTAGAGCTGTTAGGGTTGGACGCGAACATCTTTGTTAATTGAACAAATAATGGCGGTATGACTAGTATAACGGGGGCAACAGAAGACGGTTTCTGTCATTGTTAAGACCGTTCTTATCATGCTGTGTTTGTTCAAGTGTTCATTTTTATCATTAGTTTAGTTTTAATTGGTTATTTGATGATATAAAAAGAGGGTTTCACTTCTGATTGACAGCTGAGGCCAACTCGCATCTCTGGCTCTGAATGGAGCGGCGGTATCTGGATATTCTGGTTCATTTTGTACATTGGGACCAAGTGGAGACGCTCTGTCCATCTTTTATATGTCGACTATTCCTACTGTTTAGTGCTAATTGGCTAATTCAATTCAGTTTTATTTGTATAGCACCAATTCATAACAAAAATTATCTCAAGACACTTATCAAATAGAGCAGGTCTGGAACTTACTACTTAAAAAATGATGTTAGCCATAAACAGCTGCTTAGCATCAGCATGTTAGCATTGACATTGTGGTTATGCAGATGTTAGCATTTAGCACTTGACCCCTGTCTGTCTCTAACATCACACAGTGAAATGTGTGACTTTTGAATATTTTTTATTTCCTTACCTACAAGACTAAACCACGGCTTGATGCTCTGTTTTTTATATTTTGTTGTGTGTCAGGTTCTCCAGCTGGGTTCGGACATCTTGCCTCAGTACAAACAGGAAACCCCGAAGACGCCACCACACATCATCCTGCACTACTGCCTCTTCAAGACCACTTGGGACTGGGTCATCCTTATCCTCACCTTCTACACCGCCATCATGGTGCCCTACAACGTCTCCTTCAAGACCAAGCAGAACAACGTCACCTGGCTGGTGGTGGACAGCATTGTGGACGTCATCTTCCTTGTGGACATCGTCCTCAACTTCCACACCACATTCGTCGGGCCGGCTGGAGAGGTCATCTCCGACCCGAAGCTCATCCGCATGAACTACGTCAAGACCTGGTTTGTCATCGACCTGCTGTCCTGCCTGCCTTATGACGTCATCAACGCCTTCGAGAACGTCGATGAGGTCAGTGGACTTTTATTTGGCTGTAAAATGCAAAATAACGGCTTTCTAAACAACGACAATAAGTAAAAAAAAAGTGCAGTAATCATTTGTTTAGGACAGTGACGTATCCTGGTGCACGTCAATCTGCAGCGATGCATTAAGATGTCGCCAGTGTATGTTAGCTAGAAAGTCGGTCTTTGTACAGTGATTTGTGAGGCCATAGATGTCTGTAACAGCCCTCTGAAACACTTCGCTCTGGTGGCCTCAGAAGAGAGAAAGCGTTTGATTGGACGCAGCATCAGTATACACCAGCAAGTGCAAGATGAGTCATCAACTACTTTTATTGATTATCAGGGAACTCTAAAATACCATTAAGAACACCTGTAGGATTCAGTGGCGCTCTGTAAAACAGCTGTAATGTAAATCAGCCTCGGTCCGTTCAGCTGAGGCGTGAAATGATTGCTGGGAGTTTAATCGACATGAAGGAGTGGACCGTTTCACATTCATCCATTGACTTCACAGCATGTAATGACTTCCTATAGCAGCAGAGCGAAAGGTCACGACTCAGCGCCGCTTAACTGCTGACGTGTCAAGAATGCAAAAAAACCTTGACGGCAACTTCCTGCCACCAATAGACGGACGGGAACGATCCAGCTAAGAGGAGTCTGTTACAGATCTGATCCCGAATCAGGAATCTAAGTAAATATGTTTGTAAAAAAGGTACTTGATGATAATAAATCTTCTCACGATCAGTTTGATTTAGTTTGAATTCTGATAAATAAGTCGTGACCTCAACGTAAAATAATGAACCGACCCGACAAACAATCATCTTATAACTGATGAATCCTGTCCTGTCGGGATTTAACCCCTCGATGGCTCCAGCCCGTCAGGGTGAAATCAACCTCTTCATTCTCCCTGCGGTCGCAGCTCTGAAAGCTGCTAATGGAGGAGCAGTGCATTATGGGTGTTTCCCCGGTGAGGAAACAGTGCTGCTGATGAGAGGAGCTGGAGAGACGGCTGAGTGGTCTGATGAGAGGCTGCAGTGATGGAGCAGTCAAACATGGAGAGGATGCTGCATGTTTCATATATGTTTCATATGT